TCAGATGTTTTGGAATGAACAACATTATTAAGGAAATAATGTTAAAACCTGGTAAATTACAGTTTACTAATTAACACTATTCTATTAACAAAAATATCAAGCACTGTCTCTACATGTGCAAAAATAGTTTACAGTTTATGCTTATTTGTGAACAGAAGGATTATGATGTCTGAGTTTCAAAGAGAGTGACTAAGTGTAAGAAAATTGGAAGGCTCAAATAGGTTTTTTTTTAAAGTAGAGAATGAGTTAAAAGTTACACCCCAAAACAAAGTAATAGGTCTTACTGTGGGATCTGAAAAGAATCAGGGATTCATTGAGGTTGTTCCAGATGGAGGAGGCAGCTTGGAGGGTAGAATCCGCCACCTGCTTTGGAGAGACAAGGAGACAGAAAACACTGCTGTTTGATTAGCTCAGAAACATGCTAAGTAACTGAAAGTGGGGGGGAGAGGAGAAAAGCGTGTCAGAGAGAGAGAAGTTATGGAGACAAACATTGAGGACTAAAAAGCAAGTGGTCCTGTGGCACCTTACAGACTGATCAAAATTATATAGAATCACGAGCTTTCGTGGGCGAAACCCACATTGAATTGGAGTGGAAATAACAGAAACTGAGAGATCTATAGCAGCCGAAGTAGTACCTGTCAATTGCAGGAGCCATGTTAATAAGGCTAATGAAGTGGTCTGAATGTCTCATATACCTTGCTTTTGATGTGGAAATGCAGATGTTAATGGTAGGAGCATTTCCACACCAAAACTTATGTATGGGAGACATCCAGCCCACTTAATTAGCCTCTTTGACATGGGTCCTACAATTGACAGGTACTTCCGTTCTTATTTTTATATATGCTTGGTTTCTGTTATTTCCACTCCAGTTCATGTAATCAAGTGGGGTTTGCTCATGATTCTATATATTCTGGTTAGTCTGTAAGGGTATGTCTACACAGCAGGGCTAAAGTTAGAACAAATTATACAACTTCAGCTTCATCAATTGTGTAGCTGAAGCTGAAAGAGCTTATCTCGACTTTTGGTGCTGGCTACGCAGCAGGAAGTCAAAGGAAAAACACTCTTCCTTTGACTTCCCTTACTCCTCGTAAAATGAGGGTTACCGTGAGTTGGAGTAAGAAGTCCTCCAGCTCAACATTATTTTGAAATAAAGGCTTGTCATGTAGAGGAACATTTTAATATTTTGGAATAATGTCAGTTATTATACTTGTTAGATATACCCCAAGGTGCCACAGGACTACTTGTTGTTTAAAGTTAATCTATAACTTTAACTTGGCTAGAAGGCCGGGCCCCGTGTGTAGTGATCAACGGCTCGATGTCAGGATGGCGGTCAGTTTCTAGCGGAGTGCCCCAAGGTTCGGTTCTAGGGCTGGTTTTGTTCAATATCTTTATTAATGACCTGGATGAGGGGATGGATTGCACCCTCAGCAAGTTTGCAGATGACACTAAGCTAGGGGGAGAGGTAGATACTGTTAAGGGCAGAGAGAGGGTCCAGAGTGACTTAGACAAATTGGAGGATTGGGCCACAAGAAATCTGATGAGGTTCAACAAGGACGGAAGAATCCCAAGCATTGTTACAGGCCGGGGACCAACCGGTTAAGTAGTAGTTCTGCAGAGAAGGACCTGGGGGTTACAGTGGATGAGAAGCTGGATATGAGTCAACAGTGGGCCCTTGTAGCCAAGAAGGCTGATGGCATATTAGGTGGCATTAAGAGGAGCATTGCATTGCCAGCAGATCCAGAGATGTCCTTATTCCCCTTTATTCGGCTCTGGTGTGGCTCAATCTGGAGTATTGTGTCCAGTTCTGGGCCCCCCACTACAAAAAGGATGTGGATGCATTGGAGAGGGTCCAGCGGCGGGCAACCAAAATGATTAGGGGGCTGGAGCATATGATCTATGAGGAGAGACTGAGGGAGCTGGGTCTGTTTAGTCTGCAGAAGCAAAGAGTGAGGGGGGATTTGATAGTAGCCTTCAAATTCCTGAAGGGAGCGTCCAAAGAGGATGGAGAGAGGCTGGTCTCAGTGGTGACAAATGGCAGAACAAGGAGCAATGGTCTCAAGTTGCAGTGGGAGAGGTCCAGGTTGGATGTTAGGAAAAACTAGGAGAGTGGTGAAGCACTGGAATGGGTTACCTAGGGAAGTAGTGGAGTCTCCATCCCTATAGGTGTTTTAAGTCTCAGCTTGACAAAGCCCTGTCTGGGTTGATTTAGTTGGGATTGGTCCTGCCTAGAGCAGGGGGCTGGACTTGATGACCTTCTGAGGTCTTTTCCAGCTCTATGTTTCTATGATTAATATAGCTATCCCTCTGAGATTTCTTGACGACTAAGGATAAAAAGAGAAAATCATCAGCTAGTCAATGATTGTTAATGACATGCAGGAGGGTATTTTACTATCGTGAAAGGGATAGAAGCCAGGATAAAAATAAGATTGTTTTGGGAGTGATCTTGAAACAATGACCTTTCGCTCTAGGTTTTACTAAGAAATGGAGGACAAGAAATGAGCATTTATCTTACGAAAATAAGAGCAAGGGAATTTGCGGGGTGGGGTGGTATGGTGGCAATCTTTAATACACAAGTATGCGGTGAGAGATTACTGCTGAAAAAGGAGCAGAAGCTTGGAGGCAGGAAGACATACAATGCAATCATGTTGAATAGTGATAGAAATGTAGCCGTGTTAGTCTGGTGTAGCTGAAACAAAAAACAGGACTATGTAGCACTTTAAAGACTAACAAGATGGTTTATTAGGTGATGAGCTTTCGTGGGCCAGTCCCACTTCCTCAGATCAAATAGTGGAAGAAAAGTTAGTCTTTAAAGTGCTACATAATGCAGTCATGGTAGGCCAGATTTGAAAAGATACCTAAATTGTGCAGAAAGGTGCCTGTTGGGATTTTCAGTCTTGGTCTAAGTGGCCTTTGCTAAAAGGATGATGTCTGAGAGATGTCCTAAAGCTGAGTTGTGGAGTGAAGATTGTCCATGCTTTTTGCTTTCATGGATGTAGTCTCAATGTAATGATTAACTTTCAAATATTTATGTTCTTTCATTTTATTTCTCTGATTTGAAAATCTGCGGTGAACGTGTACTCCATCATAAATGGATGTAAAAAAAGCAAAGCAAAATATTGAGGTGAAAACAAACTTTCAAACTCAGTGATAAATCCAATTATTTAAAAGTACACAGCCTAAAAAATTATTGCTATGAAAAGTACTATGTCTGTGAAAGAGTAACGTTGTGATTGATCTAGATATAGGTACCATTTTAGTATTCAATTGTTCCTATACTTGGATCTCAAGAAAAGGAGAACTTCTTCAGTAAATATTGTATCCTTGATGTGGTAGGAGTACAACATGGTTCACTTTTATATTAAAATTTACAAATGAAAGAGTTTATTATGATGGATGGTAAATGACATTGCTGACACACTCATAATATAATTCAAAACATATGGTTCACAACCGTCTTTTAGCTAAGAAGTACTCTAAAGATTTATTTAGATTCTGTAATTATATGGTGGCTCAAAAGTGGCATGTGGTTTAGGTATATAGTCATAAATGCTGACATCACTGAGTACACGTTAATGTTACCAAAAGAAAAGGAAAAGGATTGTTAAATCATGATAAATTAAATTGAGATAATTTACGGAGCATGAAAACATTTTAATACATGCTCTCTTTGTTAGAGACCATTTTCTGGAAAAGAGGCAGAGATCTAATTTTATTACACTATTATTGTAGATTACTTCACAGACTGTATTATTAAATTAGACATGATGGCTGAATCTGTTACTTTATTATTTTCAATAATGATCTATGTTCCATACTCTGATATAGATGGCTCTAATTCTGTGTATGCCATGCCACTAATGCTGGCAATTCTAAGGTTTGCTATTAAAACACTTCCTTGACAATGCCTTTTAGAACTAAATTTGTAAAAGGCAAAGCCTGAACCTCCAGGTAAATATTGTAAAACTTGCATAAGGGAAGTTTTTTATTAACTGAGTGTATAAAATTATCAGTTGAAGTGAACTTGATTTGTTCTGTGTATCTGGGAAATAGTCTTTGATATAATATTTTATTAGGCTTTCCAACGTAGTGTAGTGGTGATGTTTTCCTTGAAGAAAGAAAATGATCCAAATAAACACAAAACATGCAAAGCTAGGTGATTTGGATAGAAGTGACTGTTTTCCTTTCTTTTAAATTTCTGTTTATGACCTTAGACTTCAAGTTTCCTTATGGATAAAGACTTAGTTGCTTGTAAATTGTTCTTCCAAGGACATTGATGTTTTGTGTGAAGACATTTACTATTGCTGTATGATTGTAGGGCAAGTGATAGTGGCATTTCAGCACTAGAGAATTCAGTAGCCTTGTTTAGAAATGAATGATTTCTCTCTCTCTCACCCACCCCCATTCATTCCTGCCCTTAGGCACTCATACACTTACACAGACATATGGGTTGCAGAAGCAGCCAAAGCATGTGGATCCTGGAGGGTCTGTCTGCTCATCATGGCTGTCAGGAATGACACTGGAGAGGAGCTTCTCAGGATCAGGGGAAGGAAAAAGAGAGAGTCTCGCATGTGCTCCTTCTTTTTATATAGTGTCTGAATGGCTCCTGTGACTCATTCACCCAGACTTCCCTTTATCCAGCAGAAAGCATGCCCAAACTGTGATGACTCATTGAAATGTGGTCCATTGTTCCAAGCCTCCTTCAAACACACACTCACACTGGGTCTGGACCAAGAAAGCTCATCACCTAGTAAACCATCTTGTTAGTCTTTAAAGTGTTACATAGTCCTGTTTTTTGTTTCGGCTACACCAGACTAACGCAGCTACATTTCTATCACTCTCTCTCCATTCACTCAGGGGAGAATGCAGTTTAGGGAAAGTTACAAGCAGGGTGGCTGAAAGTTACAAAGATTACAAAATTGCAGTTTACAGTAAATTTCTGAGAGTTACACAGATTGCAAAGATTGACAAGGATCACAGTAAATTGCGGTTTGAAACCTTAGACCTTACAGTTTGGTGTCGCTTCAGAAAATCCATGTATATAAATCAAGTAAGCTCAGGCGGAGGCTGTTTTATGCAACAAAGGTGGCCTATTCAATATATGAATTAGGAATGTGTTGACAGTCCTAAAATTGCTAATGAGCTCTCCACATTCCCTGTTCACTGTTTTCTGGTGTAGTACTGTCAAGTGAGAACAGGTGTTTTCAAGTATAGTACTTCAGTAGTGGAAATAATCAGCGAACAGGTTAAATGTAACGTTTAATTGGTTAACTGATTAAACAGGATTTTACATCCCTAGATGAAAGCAGTTTTCCTGAAACAAGCCTATGGAAACCACAGCTTATGTTATTAATATCCCAGCTCTTCCT